TTGTTGTTTTGGAAAATCTCACAGAATTGTGAGACATAAATACAATATTGCGAAATATAGCTCCAATTCCAACATTACATCTCGCAATTCTTAGTTAATATCTCACACTTCTGACTTTTTTTTGACAATTCTGAGCTTGCAATTCTGTTTTTTGTTTGTTTGTTTCCACCACAGAATAAACAATAACAAAAATAAAAAAGTAATTGCAATCTTGCAGTTCTGAGTTTCTATCTTGTAATTGTGAGTTTCTTTCAATTGTGCAGTTATATTTTGCAATTCTGAATTTGCAAATAAAAAAAGTCAGAATTGTGTTTTTTTAAAAAGTCACTTTTTATATTCCATGGTAGAAATAGGCTTCCACAGCCAATATGACTATTTTAGTATTTTTTTTTCTCTCTCTCTCTCTTTTGACATTTTCATTTAATTTTTAGAGTTGGAACCAGCATCATTTAATTTCAAAAATGAATAAATTGTTACTTTCTTTATTGAACCTGTAAATGACTTACTTATAGTTCTCTCTGCTCAAAGTGTTCAAATGTAATAGATTGCATACTTTTTCACACCTTTAAGTGAAACTTTCTTGTATTTTCAGTATATGTGCCTGTAGCCTCGTGAATGATGCATGAGTGAGTAAACAGCCTGTGAATTAGTGCCACATAATGTAATGCTGCAAACTGAGGAACATTAAATATTTAGGAAACAGCAATAATAGTGTTAATAAAACAGCAAAGGCTTCTGTTAATTGGTCTTTTTTTAGATTGTTTACCTGCATATTATCAAGCCTATTACGCACTAAATGTCAAGCTTCTTCGATGATATGAATATGCAGATTTGTTCAAAGTATATCTAGCTTTTGTTGTCATATCCATATTAAATAATTCGCTAAATCTTTTGTGGGAATTGACTTGTAAATCTCTCAGCTCAGCCAAACCAATATAGTTCCCGCCGGCAGACCTTGTTATTTCAGGTCACTATTGAAAAGACTTCTACATGATGTCTAAACAACTAAACCGTTCATTAGAGAACACATTATTAAGAATGAATCACCCTATGAATCATGCCTTATTGTCCCAAAGTAATCCTCAAAAGTTATTTTTGCCTCAGTGATTTTAACAAGAACCATTTCGATGTTTCATTTGTGTATATATGTGATCTAATATTCTCTGTAGTTCTAATATTATGTGAAGTACCCTGATGAATCCAGTGCTTTACAGTTGAAGGTGGTAATTTTTTAGAAAATTAATAATACAGTTATAACCAATTCAACATTACAATTACACTAGGTTTGAAGTTATTTAAAATCAGAATTTTTTATTTATTTTATCACGCTTGCAATTTGATTCACAGTCTCGAGCACTGCAGTGGAGTGTATAGGGAAACCTGTTTTAATACAGTCATTATTTTTTTTTGCAATTTTGGCTGTTCAGGAGGTGCTGCTTCTTTATTACTGCTGTCTTATTATTTAACAAGTGCACTTGTGATTTAATAGGAATTATTGATCATTTAGTGTTTTAGAGGAATTGGTCATTTTGGTGGGGCCGCATTTTGTTTTTAATAGAAACCAGCAGTAGATATGAATGAAATGAAAATAAGACCCAGCATTGGGAGTTTGTCTGCTGGGACATTCTGCTCTCGAGAACTGTGATGGATTTTAAATGGATTCATTCTGGCTGCGTTTCAGCTTTCATTTTAGCCATTGACAGGATCGGTATGAACTGGTATGTTTAAATAGCCTGATTGGTCATTTTGGTGGGGCCGCATTTTTTTTAGAATAGAAACCAGCAGTAGATATGAATGAAATGAAAATAAGACCCAGCATTGGGAGTTTGTCTGTTGGGACATTCTGCTCTAGAGAACTGTGATGGATTTTAAATGGATTCATTCTGGCTGCGTTTCAGCTTTCATTTTAGCCGTTGACAGGATCGGTATGAACTGGTATGTTTAAATAGCCTGGTTAGTTACGAATTCATCACTTATTCCTGGTTATTATGCAGTTTCTTTATATGAATGTAATAGTTCACCCAAAAAATGGAAATGTGCTGAAATTATATTCACCCACAGGCCATCCAAGATGTAGATGAGTTTGTTTCTTCATATGAACAGATTTGGAGAAATGTAGCATTTCATCACTTGCTCACCAATGGATCCTCTGCAGTGAATGGGTGCCGTCAGAATGAGAGTCCAAACAGCTGATAAAAACATCACAGTAATCCACAAGTAATCCACACCACTCCAGTGCAACAATTAACGTCTTATGAAGCAAAAAGCTATGTGTTTGTAATAAACAAATTCATCATTCAAGACATTTTCAGCTTCCACTAAAATAAGAGTCCTCTGTCCATAATATTGCTTTCTCCAGTGAAAAACTTGTCTCTCCTGAATCATAAAAACGGTCCAAAACAATTATAAACAATTATGTCGGTGGATTTTGTTGTGACAGGAGAACAGGAGATGGACTTTTTCCACTGGAGGAAGCGTTATTATGGATTATGGACTCGTATTCTGGCAAGAAGTGATGGTTTAAAGTTCAAACACCTTAATGATTTTGTTTCTTACAAACAAGCAACTTTTCATTTCACAATATGTTAACTGATGGACTGGAGTTGTGTGGATGATTGTGATGTTTTTATCAGCTGTTTGGACTCTCATTCTGACGGCACCCATTCACTGCAGCGGATACACTGATGAGCAAGTGATGTAACGCCAATTTTCTCCAAATCTGCTCTAAATAAGAAACAAACTCAACTATATTTTGGATGGCCTGAGAGTGAGTCAATTTTCAGCAAATTTTTGTTTTTGGGTGAACTACTCCTTTAATGTGTATCTCTCATCTATTATCTAAAGTAATCTTAAATGCCTTTTTAAAGCATTACTGTATAAATCTGATAGTGTTGTTAAGTACTTTTATAATGTGTCAAACTCCTTCAGTGTAATGTCTGGATTAGGATGCCAAATTAATTACAGTCCCACAGCGATCTCTCTCTTCATTTGTCCCCAGAGGCCCCAATAATGAGAGCTCTCGCCTCTAATCGGTCAAGCACACTCAAACATATGACAACAGCTGAATAAAACTCACCCTCAGTGACGGGGGCATGTGAATCATTACCCCTGACCCCTCTTCCGCTCACACTCACACGCTTCAATCGATCACTCCACTCGCAAAATGTGGTTGAGCATCCATATGTATGAAAAGGATCCCACAAGTGGATGCAGTCGATTGAGCTCCCACATTCTTGCAAGTTACTGCCATTTTCAGATAAGACACTGCAGGCAGATCCAATGCTCCTACTTTTTTGCTAAAGTTGTCAATAGAGGTGCTGGTCAGTTCAGAAATACACTAAAAATGTATAGGTAAGGTTATACCTTAGGTTAGCTTCTCTGATGGATCGTTTAGTTTTTGCTTGGATAGCAATATCTGATTGAATTATTCAAGTTCCTTAACTTTGCATCTGGGAAGAAATGTCAGAAATGTCAGAAACCAATGACTACTTGTCAGTTAACAGAATCTTACACTCCATTAAATGTGAAATTTCAGCATCAATTAAAAAAAAAATCTAAACATTATAATCATAAAAAAAGAGAGAATACAAATTTGAATAAAAATGTTGTGTGTGTGCATGCTTGTAAATGTAAGTTATTATTGCTTGAAAACAGTATGCCTAAACATCCTGTGTAAGTATCAATGGAGATATTGTACTATATTAATTATTGTAATTATTACTGTCTATCACATGCTGCTGCAATTGTCTCAATAAAATCAAGTACTTGTAAACAGATTATGTTTCAGCTAGGTATTAACACTGTCACTGACTGAGGATCTTATAGCACCACCAGCCTTTTTTCAAGTAGAGGGAAAATATTACGTTTGGTTTAGATAAGTGATATGCACTTAATATAGTACAATATCTGGACTGATACGTGTATACAGGATGTACAGGCATTCTGTTTTCATTAAAAAAAATAATATTGGCATGCCTGATAATAAAGTTATAATTACATTGATATGTAGAGAATATATATTCAGATTTGCATTTATATATTCAGGATTTTTAAATATATATTCCGATTTACAATTATATTTTCAGAATTATAACTATATATTCATGATTTACATTTTTATATTCAGACTTACAACTATATATTCTGAGTTGCATTTATATATTCAGATTTGTATCTTTATATTCTGGTTTACATTTATATATTCTGATTTATAAATATATATTTTGATTTACTTTAATATAAATTCAGACGTACAGCTATATATTTTGGTTTACTTATATATTCACAATTTACATTTATATATTCAGATTTGATATAATTATCTCCTGTTTGGTGCTTCATATTCATTATATATATATATATATATATATATATATAATGTGTAACATATGATAAAACTGTTCTATTCTAATAATAAAAATACTAAAAATAATAGTTAAAAAGGTGTTTCTCATTATTTTATCTTTACTTGCAGGAAATAAAAATCCCAAATCCGATGTTTTTCAATCAAATAGAGAGCAAATGCAGACTTTTGCCTACATATCCTTCCTTCTAAAAGAAAAGCACCCTAAAACACTTGGTTTTGTTTTATCAAAAGTGAGAGATTTTGAACTTATTTCAAAATCATTTTTTATCAGATTCTTCCAAGACCAGAATAGGGTACAATATTTTTTTCCTATCCACTTCCATCAGAAGATATAGATGGCTTGATATAAAATATACTGAAATGTAGTTAAGTTACTCCCCAAACAATACAGCAGTACTACAGCGGATCCTCCATTCTGTAATATACAGCAAGAGTCTCTCCTCTCCTGCCATGTCTGGTTTGATTTGGAGAGAATACATCCTGATGGGAAGTGAATTATCTGAAGTGTTTGCTTATGGAGAATAGTGTGTGAATGAGGGATTAGCCGAGCACAAATTAGGTCTGAAATTCTAAAATTTTAAAGAACATAGTCTGTTTTATGCTTCTCATCTCCTGATGCTTTTTGTCCTTGCAGCTGAGGCGAACAGTGATCAAGAGTCATGACAGACATCCTCCTTTACTTAAAAGGAAATGAACAGTCCTGCATACTTCATACTCAAGTAATATGCACAAGGAGGAACTAATATGATACCAGTGGAAGAGATGTTTGTCGCATTAAACTATATCAGCAAGCATGCTCACAGTCTACTCATTCACAAAACTAGTAACTACCTACCTAGACAGCCTTTTAAGGTTCTCCTCGCATGATTTTTATTTATTTGATGTATTTTTATAAGTGTACACTGCATGTACTGTATCTTTCAGAGAAGGCAGTAATCCCAGAATGCATTGGGTGAAATGTAGTGGTAAAAAAAAAGTGTAAATATATTAATATATATTTAGATCTGTTTTATTCAGTACTGAAAAATATCAATAAAAATATTTCAGTTAAATAATTGACTATTTTACACAATATTTGTGTGTAAATTGTGTTGTATACACATTTCATGCTTGTCGGAGTCTTGTGCTGTTACATGTTATGCTACATGCAACATCAAACTCTTCCAGTTCCAGAAGTAAAAACTTCATTTCCGCCATAGGAAAACTGATTTTTAACAATAGCTTACAAACCTTTAAAGACAGATCTGTTGTGAGCCCTGAGTTGTTAATCAATGGTGAATTCTTTTGTTGAAGCTGTTTTGTCAATCTGTTTGAATTAATTCAACTTATTTTTAAAATTATCATGTTTATAAGTGGAATTTGTGCTAAAGACTACATTACCCATGATGCTGTGCACAAAATTCCACCAGTCAGAGAGTCACAGCCAGCAAATCATGCCAAAGAAAAATTTAAGGGGGTCTGAATACTTTCCGTACCCACTGTATATATATATGTGTATGTATAACTAACAACATATTGTTTTAACAGATGTAATCAACAACTTTGAGTAGATTTACATTTCTTCATCATTTTTAATTTATGTAATTCGCAATGCTTCATGGGGTTGTAGTTCTTGGACTCACTAAGTCATTATGTACACAGTCTTACGCCTTTGTCTTTTTGTCCGATTTACAAGTAGGTTTTTTATTTATGTATTTTTTATTTATTTATTTATTTTTGCTTCAAATACAAGTTTGTAATGTTGTGGTTCACCTCACAGCTGGGTGGTTTGATTCATGACTTATAATTCATTAAAAAAGACTATTTTAAAATCTTTATGGGAAAAATGAATGGAAAATACTTTTGGTATCAAGGGCCCTGGTAAAATTCTGTCTAGGTAGTGTTCCAAATCAGTTATTTATGAGGTTCCATTGCAGTTAGGATGCTGTCTTAGTAGTCATTTATCTGTGTAGGCCGTAGACAGCAAATCAGCTTCCTAGATTTTGGAACAGAGCGGTTTTATCACTCATTCTGTCATATTTTTCAAAAGTCATTAGAGATGTTTTGCCACATGCTAAGCTGAGTGTACTTAAGCAACTTCATTATCAATTGACATTTAATGCTTTTAACCATTTGTCATTGTCCCTTTAAAACTGAGAGTCAGAATTTTGTCTGCTTTAGCAAAATCGTGACACTATGAGGGAAAGGTCATTTGTTTATTTTTATTTTTTTAAATTTTGTGTTTATGCAAATGGGAAGTTGTCCTTGCAGTCTGCTTAGTGTCAGGTGAATAGATCTGCATAATAAGTGTAATGAGGTAATAGGTCAGCTTCTGTCTTAGGGCTGCAGACCAATGCATGACTACACATCTTAATTTTGTGAGAGTCGTTTGTTATCCAGGCATTCCTGCAAAATTAAGAAGTGGTTGTAATGTAATGTAATATAATATAATAAAGGGACATTTATTTTAAATATAGCACAATAATATAACACGAGCAGTTCCACAAAAAATCAACTTGGTGAAAAGTGATCGACAAAATGACATAGGTTGATGCTGTGTTATTGAATGCAATTGCATACATTTCTAGGTGTGATTTACATCTCCAAAAGGGCCCAGTTACTTTATAGGTCCCTGTATGTCTTGTTTGTACTATAAAGAATTGGTATGCTTGTGGCAGCTTGAACGTGTATGTGTGTGGTGAGGTCTCCTTTAGTTCTTCACATTAAATTCCAAGGTGTTTGATCCCGACTTGCCCCCAAGACATATCACACTCAGCATGCAGCCTGCCATGTCCACGACTTATCAGATCTATAGCTTTAGTTTGTGTGTGTGCTTCACGCTGACCCTTTGAAAAATCCAGTGGACACCATTAGAAATTCATACATAGCACAGTGAATGTTGTGCTTTATCTGGTTCTCTGCTCACGCCTTCACTTCTTCTCAAATGAGTAGTCTGTTACTCTCAACTTTTTCAGTGTAAAAGTCATTGCCATGATGTTAGTGTTACCAGGGCGTTGCTAAGGTTGGTTGCTTAGTGACCTGCTGGTCTCTAAATAAAGCTTCAGTCCCTTTTTAATGGAAGTCTATGTTTTTTGCATCTTTAATAGTAGCAGTGTGTGGGGAAAAAAACAAAGTGGTGTGTAAAACTAAATTATGATTTTTTTGTGCAAGAAACCTTGTCCAACGTTATAAGCCGTGATAGACATTATTGTTGCTAAAAGTAGCACAGCAATAGTAGCAAGGTAATGGAGTCACTATTTTTTTAATTCATGTAGCTTGGTAGCAAATCTAATTTATTTGGTAAATAGCTGGTTAGCGCTGTGTCAAGCTACAACATTACGTTTGCTTGACAATATTTGCTTGATGTGTACACTATACGATTCAGGAGTGAATGATGGTTTTGAATCGGTTCTTAGAAAAGACTCACTCAGCAAATGGCAATAAAATGTTTATACCTTTGGATATTTTGGTTTTAAATAAACAGACATTTGAACAAATGATAGCATTTATAATATATCATGCATACAAACATAAGTATGTAGCTTATATGTAGCAAGTTAGCTTTTTCCATGTAGCATATAGTGTAACTAGCAGATTTTTAAAACTGAATGACCTCTAAATTCAAATGTGACTGAACAGGACTTTAATGAAAAGCCTTTTATGTAACCTATATCTCAAGGCAGGCTTCTTAAGACAAGGTTTTCCCCAGATTCCGAAAATTTTAGTTTTAAGTCCATAAGTAAGCCTGAGAATTCAGACCGATCTGTCCCATTTTACAGTGTAAGGTCTGCTAAAAGAGAAATGGCCTGGAAAAGCAAGTGACTCGTGATCGCACAGAGTTCATGGTTTCTTGCCCGTCGGCCAGTCTTACAACATTACTCTCCTCTCCATTAGCATCCTAAGGACACATGGCCACGAATCTCTTGGGACTATCCTGGCAAACACGTTATTAAAAATGTGACAGCCAAGGCAAGTTTAATTAATTTCTAATACAGAGTTTTAGTTACTCGTTTACAGCACGGATGCAGGTCACTGCTTGCAGTTCCATGAAACTGACATATATATATATATTCGGCTCGTCTTATGAGGTGGGATTTAGGTCTTCGGGGAAAGAAAAACTCAGAGCCCCATTCCTCATCATTAAGTTTTAAGCAGTTCTGTTGAGTTCACCCAGGCTGACCGCTACAGTTAATCACTAGCTGGGGGTGTAAGAAGAGACAGAGGAAAGACTTTCAGAGGGAACCAGAAGCAGTTAACAAGTGAAAGAGGCCTGATGTGACTGAATATCCAACCACAAAGGGTTGAGATGACTTTATGCTAATTATATTCCATTACTTTATATTGCAATACAAACTTCAAAATGTTTAATTAAATATTTTCTGGGTTCAATACAAGTTAATTGACAGCATTTTTGGCATAATGTTGATTGTCATAAAAAAAAAAAAATTTTACTTCCCCTTTTCCACTTTAAAAAAAAAAGCACTTACAGTGGAAGTGAATGGCGCAAATTCATGAACGTTAAAATAACATTAAAGGATAGTTCACCCAAAAATTAAAATCTGCTTACCCCCAGGGCATCCAAGATGTAGGTGACTTTGTTTCTTCAGTAGAACACAAACCAAGATTTTTAACTCAAACCGTTGCAGTCTGTCAGTCCTATAACGTAAGTGGATGGGAATCACGGCTAAAACATAGGTGGCGGTGAATCAGAGGTAAAAAACGATATAAATACTGTTCAGTTTCTTGCACAGACCGATCGTTTCGTGTCTTTACACATCAATGTATCGTCACGAGCCGCAGGGTTTAATTTGGTTTTGTTTGTGTATGTTTTTTTAATTTTTTTTATTGTATGTTTTAGCCGTGATTCCCATCCACTTACGTTATAGGACTGACAGACTGCAACGGTTTGAGTTAAAAATCTTGGTTTGTGTTCTACTGAAGAAACAAAGTCACCTACATCTTGGATGCCCTGGGGGTAAGCAGATAAACATAAAATTTTCATTTTTTGGTGAACTATCCCTTTAATATCAATAAAATATCGATAAAATTAAAATTTCAGTATGTAGCCACAGGATGTTAACAATGTGTTAACATGATTTTGGTGTGACTAAAAATCACTTTTATGTGTAAACCAAACTTCATTGCAATGATAGTGCAGTGCCTTGAAACGACTGTAAACATTTTTTTTACCGATTTTAACTAGGTCTTTCAATAGATAAATTTTTTTATTGGATTAATCACATGCTTTTTGTGTGATTAATCGCAATTAATCACATACTTTTAATGAAATTAAGCATATACCATTTATCTTGTTTAACACGTTATAATTTGGTCATTATTTACAATATCCAGCAACGTAAACCAAAAGATTGAAGGGTGATTCCCACAAAACTGTATTTTCTGGAAGCTTTTTTCAAGATAAATTTAGATATCTTTTCAAAAAAGGACACCTGGAGACACCAAAAGGACACCAAAGAACCAAATGATATAAGAAGCTCATATAGTTGATACATTTGTGCACACCAAAGCACACATTAAAAAAACTTTTCAGAATTCATTGTGTATAGTATGTGTACAGTAGACAAGTCAAGTTGCGATACAGAACAGGACCACATGGAGATGCCAAAAAAACCCCTAAACCAACCACCTTGAGCTGATTGCTTATACATACTACAGTACACGGATCCATTCAGAATAACTAAATACAGAAACATACACATGACAAATCAAAATATTATCCTGAATGTGTGTGGAAACAACATGAATGTACTGAAATATGTCTGTGCATAAATACAATGTATGAT